CCCATAGGCCCCGGGCTGGTTCCAGTCGCAGCGGCCGCAGAGGCAGGACCCGTGCCCGCTGCACACCAGCCCGTTGCTGGCCAGGCAGGTGTCTGTTCTGGTGGTGCAGTTGCAGTTGTCACCTGTCCAGTCTGAGTCACACAGACAGTCCCCGCAGCTGCAGCGCCCGTGGCCTGGGGACAAGCCAGAGGGCATCAGGACCCTCAAGTGTCCCCACAGATCCCACTAGGGATCACCCACATGGGGTAACCAGGTACCCAGAGGAGCAGCTGCACCTCTGTGGGCACAGCAAGGCAGAGCAGCCTCCCAGGACAAGCTCTTTCTGCTGGCCTTGGGTTGGGACCCAGCAGCTCACAGCAGCCTTTGCCATGTCCCCAGCACTGCTCTCATTCCACCCAAACAGGAACCATCTCCCAAACCCCAGGCTGAGCTGCCCCAGCTGGGACAGGCTGGCAGCAGCAGCAGGAGATGCTCACTCAGAGCCAACTCTGAGCTAGTCAAGCTTTGACTTTGGCTTTTAATTCCAGATTGAGTCAAGACACCTGATCAAACCCCCCCAAATCCCAGTTGTTTCCCCAGCCCTGGACCAGGCAGGGGAAGGGGGCTGCTGGGAAGAGCCCAACGTGCTCATCTAGACCAGTTTAATCAGACAGACAAGATGTGCTCAGATCCTGCCAGAGCCTGGAGCTATTTGGGTTGTGGTTTGATTTCAAGCTCCAAGACAAGACACAGTGAGTGGTGGAAGCTCCTCAGAGCCTGCACGTGCAGACCCATCCCAAGCCTGGAGCACCTGGGGAGTGCTGCTCCTGGTGGGAAGCAGCCCAGGCACTGTCCTCACCACAGCCTGGGGGCACCAACGTGAGAACTGAATGTGTCACCTGTTAATGAGGAACTGGGGGGGGCTGAGTCACAGGAAAAGGGTGACAAGGCCTGGGAGCAGACAGGGAGAAGTGGCTCAATGGGATGGTTGCCAACAGGATCAGACAGGGTGAGTTAATCAACAGCTCTTGCCCAGGCTGGGGGCAAAGCTTCATCATCACCCTGGCAGCCCTTGTGCAAACAGGCAGAGGGAACAGGGACACCCAGCTCCTGGGGACACTGAGGGGAGCAGCAGCTCAGGGTGGTGGAAAGCCCCAGCCATCACACCTCTGGTAGCAGCAGGCTGGTGCTGCCAGGAGCCATGAAACTGGGCTGGGGGGAGGTGGGGTTCCAAAAACTCTCTTTAGGATGTCAGGGAGCAGGGACTGAGGGTCACCTGGCCAGCAGGTTTCATCTCACCCACTCCAGGCTCCTGCAGAGTGGGATCAGCTTTGGCCATTGATGTTCCTCTGGGGATTTTGGGACTCACAGCAGGAAAGAGGTGGCTTTTTTGACACTGTGTCAGCAGCCACCTCCCCTGGGCTCATGGAGGGAAGCTGGGGATAGGAAAGGGAGTGGCTCCTACTCTTTCATACCCCCCGAAATCACTTTTGGGATGATCTGCTCCTGGAGGGGATGTGCCAGCTCCAGGCACTACCACCTCTCTCACATCCCCTGAAAAACCAGGAGATGGGGCAGAGCACCAGGGTCTACTCAGCCCTCCAGCACTCAGAGTAGGTGTGGGTGGCAGACACCCTCGATGGGGTTTTCTGATGGGCAAGAGGCCCTTGGGCCATCAGGTCCCATGGAAATGATGAGTGTTTTGGAGAGAGGGGCTCCTGCCCTGAGCAGTAACCAGGGACCTGGTCCTCTCTCCCCAGTGCTGAGAGCAGCTGAGGCTGGAGCAGGGGAGGCTGGTAGCATATGGAAAAGATGAATATTCAGGAGGGAAGATGCTGTAAGGCCAGTGAGGGGGGAGGATTTTCTTCTCCAATGATCTTGCCAAGTCTTCAAGAACCACGGGGAGGATGAGAATTACCCCTCCCCACACCTCTCCTTCCACCCCAGGGTTTCCCTTCTGCAGAGCAATACCTCTGATGTGTCAGGGGCTGCAATTTGAGCTGGGTCCAACCCAGTTCCTGGCCCTGGACCCCCCAGGTCTGCTTCCCTGGATGCCCACCAACCACCCCAACATGACTCCTGAGCCTAAGCAGGGGCTGAGGGCTGCTCTGAGCCCTCAGAGCCCAGCACACTGGCACAGTTCCTGGGCAGAGCAGGTGATACCAGCTGCCTGAAAGGAAATAATTGCCCCAGCATCACTTTAGGGATCACTTCAGGTCCAGGGAGAGCCACAGCTGAGCAAGGGAGAGGTGGGGACAACACATGGCACAAACTCCAAATAGAATCATCACAGAATCATAGAGAGGTTTGGGTTGGAAGGGACCTGAAAGATCATGTAGATCCAGCCCCCTGCATGGGCAGGGACACCTCCCACCAGCCCAGGTTGCTCCAAGCCCCATCCAACCTGCCCTTCAACACTGCCAGGGATGGGGCAGCCACAGCTTCCCTAGGCAACCTGGGCCAGGCTCTCACCACCCTCACACCAAAGAATTCCCTCCTCATGTCTCACCTCAACCTCCCCTCTCCACTTTTAACCCACCTCCCCTTATCCTCTCACTATGAACACCTGTAGCAGCT